CCTAGTGGAAAATTGATGTACGTATTATTATTTATACCCACGCAGGGCTATTCAATCGGGCATCAATAAAAATTCAGATTTTGTTAAGCTAAATTAGCTTGGGCAACGGATCCTTCCGTTGATTATTATGGGCAACAGTTTACCCCGTTGAATGTTATTTTTCTGTTTTTATCAGTTGGCAAAGTCCAATAGGGCGGAGGGAGTAATAGTTATCATTATTATTATAGTCATATCTATTAATATTATTATTCCAACAATTATTATTGTCGTTGTTGACTTGTTATTTGGTCCATTTCACCTTTTCGCATGCTGTCTTAGATAATTGTTGCACCTTGACAAGGTCCCATGGCTCACACTTGATTATTAGATAAATGGATTAAAAAAAACTAAGAAATCAACATTAGCACCTATTCATAATAAAATATATATGTTTCCTTGGAATATGTATCCCCAGAGATCAAAGCTTTTCATGGAAACTGTTACCTTCTTTAGCCTTGATTGCTTGTTCCATGGATTGAACCACATCTTCAAGCAATGACACTCCCATTCTGTAGTTCAATGAATTACCATAGCCTTTAATTATGAACAGTTCCAAGTCGTCAGTCCACTCCATGAGAGAAACCTAATAAATAAGCCATTAAATAAAAAATAGAATGTTCAGTGTTCGACAGACAACAAGAGTTCATGAATGATAAAATGAACCCGAACTCATGTTAAATCATTACCTACGGACTATCCAAAAAGCAGTAACGAACTTAATAGACCTACTTATCTTTTACCAAAAAAACTATGTTGTAGAGAGGAATAAAAACGAGACAATAGTGAGACAAAGAATCATACACTCATATCGTTCTAGAGTGGAATACTAAAAAGTAAAAAGAGTTGTGCTCGAGGTACATATACTCTTACAGAACAGTTCACAAAAGAGGTATGTGGCATCATCATATTATTTAACACATCACATCACTCTTACATCGAAGGTAATTACAATTGCCACATCACTTGTTTGAAAGTTTTTTTTGTAAGTTTGTTAGTACTTGTAGCACTTTCCTACTAAAAATGGATTAAATCTCTGCTTATGGACTAGCAAAGAAAGCCCATATTATTTAGAGTTTTTCTTTATTCAACTGTTCAAGAGAATGGTACGCGATGATCAACCGGGTAGAAGGAAAGTGCATCACCAAAGAAAGTACCTCAGTTGGACTGAAAAGACTACAAGCTTGACCAGTGATGTTTAATAAGGACGCTTCCTACACAAATAAATAAATAAATAAATAAACAAATAAAACTCAAGATCAAGAAAAAAAACTGGTATTCACTTAATCACAATCATATAACACCACTGTTACAATACTGACCTGCTTACATAGAAACCATAAAGAAGATATATCTTGCCGAGTAAAATTAAGCCCATATTTTTTTATAAATTCCTGAGTAATTTCATTCAAGACGGGCTCCTTGAGCTTGTCAAGAGTGGGTTGTTGACTTTTTCTGAATCCCTGGATAAAAAGGACATGAGAATTAAATCAGGCATAAGTAGCAAATTAGAATCTAAATAGGCATGTTGAACTTTTCTCTTTCAAATGGAGAATGGGAAAATAGTCTTTTTCTCCTTTTTTACTTATTTGACCACTCAGCACACTAGATATCAACTGTGTTTTTATTATTTATTATATAAAATATTTATTTATCAATATTTTCATTATTTTTTGGCTTGAGAATATGATGGAATAAAGCAAAATGGCTCACTAAACTGTATGCGCTTCTTTGTTATGAAGCAGCAGTCAGTCCATGCAACTTTGGACGCGATTTTCACTATGAGTCATCCGCAAACAGTCTCTTTGTGTTTTAGTACAGGGGTAAGACTACGTACATCCGACCCCCCCTTACCCCACCGTAGGGTGGGAGCCTTTGCGGCACTGGGGTAAATGAAAATGATGATGATGATGATTTATTTATCAATATCTTAAATTCAAATATAATTCTGAGACCTCAACATAGGCATCATCATAGTCATAATAAATCTGACTTGGTACGTGCTTATCTGAGCCTAAAACCCTCATTTTTTAAAGTATACAAAATTACCTTGTAGCTTTGGCAACAATCATGAAATCTGAGAATTATATCACTCGCACGGCTTTCACTGATCACTGCAAATGCTCGATTTTTGCCTGGCCCAAGCTTGCCTCTTGAACTAAAGAGACCCATGCCGAAGGCCACAGCACTAGCTGATGCCCGAGGTACCTAAAAACAAACCTCTCTTTGACTAATGCAAGAATAAGATTACTGAAGGAAAGAAGCATGAAATTAAAAAAAATTAGACTGCACTTAAAAACTGTGAACGACAAGTTTATTTAACGGAAACATCTTCTATATGTGCCTCATAATCAATGACTTAATGAGACATTTGTATAGTACCAAATCAGAAAACACATTGATAGCCCCCATCCACTCAGATAATCTCCAGCCGTATCAGACACATGGCAGAGAAACCAGAAATTATATATTTATATAAACAAAAATGAGCTTAAAATACTACAATAATACTAAAAGAGGGAAAAATTCCCGTCATATGACTAAAAAGCATGTTTGACAGGAATATGACTAGTAAACACACTACATGAGTGACATTTATGTGATAACCGTGAGTATGATTGCCGAAAACCAAGCAACACATCACGAAAAAAACTACTAGGTCATACTTTGGGAAATAGATGATCTTTTAGTCATATGAATAATAATTTTCTCCAATTAGAATGACCTTTTTCCTGCCAAGCATCATAAATACAGAAATACCAGAAAATTAAAACAATAGACCACCAACCTGTGACGTCTTGATTGTATAAACATCAGGATGATATTCCTCGCTAAAGAGGTCTGGAAGATACTCTCTGATTCTTACCCCAAGATTATATAGTTCATCTTCTCCTTCAGTGATAAGTTCTCCACCTGTACGCTTTCCCTTCCATGGAGATTTCCATACACGCATCCAGCCAGGAACTTTTTCTAAAGATTTCCTTTTTTCTTTTGCATTTTTCACGAGGACTTCTAATTGGTCTGCTAAGCCATCTAACTCCATTATCTTTTTCTTTGTTGGAGCACGAGTGCCATGCCTCGCCTGTCAAACACATTTGTAATGCTTATTAAATATAAGCCTCATAATAGAATATATTGGAATCACCTTGAAAATTAATAACTACGATACTTTTGGGATATTTTTAATAACTACGCAGTATTAGCTTTTGGTGACTGAAACGATCTTAAAAGAAAAAGGTTGTAATCGCTTGATAAAAACCGACCGTTTAATTTAGTTTTCTTGGGTATAACAAACTGTTAAGATTAATTAATACTAAAAGCAACAAACTTTCTATCAGAAGCTACTCAGTGTAGCTTCTCAAAAAGGATCTTAAGTTTTTAAAAAAGCTCTTAACAATTGTTGTGCCAAACATACATCTAAGTACTTTTAAAGACTTTTAAAATAGTACAAAAACTAGTTGGTAGGGACTTATGCCTACCAAACATGCATTCCTAGTAATCTCTTGCTATGAACATTCTAGCCTTTAACGGCAAAATCCATCATATCATCATCACCAAAAGATTTTAGGGTCGGCTAACATGAACCGGCATATGAAATTGGAGTTAAAACTACACCAAATATCATTCTCACAGCAACCTTCATATGAATGATAACAGGATAAATTTCAACACTGTCATCATCATAGATTATTTTCAATTGCAAGGAAAATAATATGAACGGATGGATGATGAATTGTGAGTTGATACATTGATAATTTGGTACCGTAAAACCAACATGTAAATCATAAAACATGACTGCTGTAAATTCCCTAGCACAATCTCATAAATCTTCCTCTAAAAACATTGACTACTTTAGAAAGTTTTCCACTTAACTATCATATTATAATGACAACCTGTCAGCTTTCCTACTCATCTGAAGCTTAATTTCATAGGTAAGTAAACATTTAGGAGTTAGGACTACTTAAGTCCGCTAGAATTCATGTAGGTGCATGTAATATATATGCATCATGAACTGAAAGCAAAGTAGACAAGATTATAACCTAATCTTTTATAAGGTATGGTCATTGAAGGAAATAACCGTTCATTCTCTCTGGACAAAGACAATCTTCATAAGATCATATAAACTTACAAAAAATAGTAACAGGAAGTAGTATTCTTTACTAGAGAAACATGATCATAAGATATATTGCACCTTTGCAGCCATGCAGAAAATTAGAATGCATTTCAAAATTACCACGAGGTTTATGTGTATAGGGGTGCATTGATTGGGAATTTCCGGAGCTATAATCGAGTCTTCTGATAAGATATCCTTCACAACACCATATCTGCCACAATCCGAAAAGTAAGTATGATAAGCGAAACTTAAAAAAGAGTTGATGAATAATTAGACATTCACAATTGATCCAACTACATAAAAACTATATCGAGCAGTAGGCGGTCGAGCAAAAGCAAATTTCAAAGAAGAACAGATACGTAAAGATTGACTTAGAAGATGTTCATAAATCGATGTTATAATAGAGTAGAAGCATGCCTTGATACAGTAGATAGATGTTTCCGAACATCGAAAGCCTCTTCACCTCTAGCATGAAGGAAAAATCCAGCGAAAAATATTAACAAAATTACTGCAACTTTATTGGCTTTCTGCATTTCTTCAATTTTCTTCTCCCAAGAACCCCATCAACATCTACTTTCAACAGAGTTCGGGGGGATCGAGAAGCAACCAATGCGACGTCGTTTGCGAAACACCGAAACGCGCGCGAATCACGGCGTCTGGGCTTTTTGAACGAAGTGGCCCAAAAGTAACCTGCCAAAACTATAGTGGAAATTACCCGTATGATACACTTTTGTATGCCACTTATCATTTATGTCTCACTGATTTTTCCCTTTCATTTTTAACCTTTTTTATTTTCAATTATATTTTATGTATTTCACTTTTAGACCATTATTACTCGTATACCAGAGAGCGCAAGCATATTCCCCAATCCCGTTTCTCGCTGCTTCCACTCTACTTCGACCTTCATTCTCTCTTTTCTCCAATCCTCATGCTCCGGCCTCGATCGGTGCAACCTGGAACACCAACATGCCGGTTGTTCATCGTCATAGCTTGATAGCCTCGCCGGAACGCCGCACTCCTAACCGACGAACGAATTCAGGCAAAAGGTAATATCTCTAGTCCTCTTTAATTCATCTATCATCTCCATATCCGGCTTAATTTCTAACCTTGTAAGTTTCTAACCTAATTTTTAAAAGTTAATCTCAAATTTATACGTCACTTTGTAAATTTGTAATTCCAAAGCCTGAAGTTGCTTGTTCTGTATTATTTTTATAATCTGAGCTCTAAAATTGATTAGCTTGAAAGTCTCGAATTGCTTAGTTTGTATTGATTTGTATAGTTTTTATAATTACTGTTACTATTACACCTTGATCATTACTTTTTACTTTTTATTATGATATTGAATTGAGTTGTAGTTTATTGTTTTCTATATGAGCTGTAGTTGTGGTTTAGATTCTCCTTTTGACTCATGTTTACTCCTCGGTTTACTCCTTGATTTTGATTTGTGTTGTTTTATCTGAAATATGCTTAGATGTCTCATAAATCTTTTTATAAACAACCGTACGCTAGTATAGAGAGGTGGAGGAAGCTTGTTCTCCTCTATTTTTTCTTGAAAACATTTATATGGAAAAGGAAAGTTGTAGTTTTATGAGATGATGTAGTAGTTCATTAATTAGACTGACTAGGCAGTGTCTTGTATTGAGATTGAGATAAGATTTGTTTATCTCTACATAATATCTCATGGAAAATATATCTCTGAGCAGTGTGAGGACATTGCACTCTAATTCTAACAGCTTTTGATGCCTTTTCATATCCTGGTAATCGAGCAGCCCTCTCTTAGATGGTATCTGATGATTCAGTACTGGTTTGTGTAGTAACTAAGTTGCCATGAGTATAAGAAAGTGATTGTCCAAACGGATGGGAAGTAACTGAGAAATTGATTATTGACAAAATGAAAGTTACTATAGTTTATAGTTTAGTACAGGGTAACTAATATAGAGTAGAGTCTATGTATTTAGTTTGTGTTGTGTACTACAGTAACTTATCACTTGCGTGTTGATTTAGTAACTAATATGTATGTTTGTGGCTTAGTGACTATGTCGTGTTAGTTGATTAAGTGTATGAACTTATAGAGAATCAATAAATTAAAGAAGCATATTACAAACAATACAGACTTGTATGCAATTAGAAACAACATGTATGTCCCCTGTATTATCTATGATGTCCCCTGTATTTTATATATGCCAATGATGGTTGCAAGTTAAAGAACAACTATGCACTAAATGACATGAAAACTTTAGCAAGAGATTTTCATTTTGATATAGAAAAAGCATTCAATGTTGAATGAAAAGAACTCCCCTTCACTCATGAAATGGCTCTGCTGCACCAGATGGCAAAGGGTTCGTAGAGTTTTGTCCTCCAACCTTGAGCAATTTTTGTGAACAGATTAAGGATAAATAAGCTAAGATTTCATTACTTAAGGTTAAATAAAATTTTGTCTCAATTCATTTATCTCTTCAAGGGGAAAGGGGGAAGGGGTCAAGGGGAAAAGGATAAAAGGAAGAATCAGCATGATACATCTTATTTCACATCTAGCTCTACATTAGGATCAATATAAATAGAACATATGGTAATATCTAATTACTATCTGAAACCATTTTATTATGAAATTGAGTATACATTTACAGCTTAAAGTATATATTTTCTCAAATCATTGGTGAGTAGGGCGAAGGCAGGGGCTGACCATGGAGAATGCGTGCCCATGTGCAGTGGTAGGGTTTCTCGGATGGAATCACCATTAACTGAATCAAACTCAAACCTATCACTTGATCTGATATATCGTCCTTTTGCCATAGCTAATGCACTCACAACCGGACTTAATGATGGGTATAACATGGTTCCCTATGTCTTGAGTCGATTTTATTCCTCATTTTACTGTATTGATCTAGTGTTTTGTTATACAGTTCGCAATATAATACACTTGTGTCATTTGTTGCAGTTTTAGAGATCAGCGAGTGAACGAAGATAGGAAAAAACTAATGGATTGTGTGTGAAATCCATAAGTGGAAGAAGAATGTGAAGAAGCAAAATCAAACGATATAATGCAGAGTAGATACATGTAATATATTGAGTTAACAATTTGAATTATATACTTATGGCGACACTATTGCATGTTGTTTTTGTTTCTTATTGTTGTATCATGTGTATTATTTTTTTGTTGCAACATGTTTCTTTTTGTTGTAACATGTTGCTTTTTGTAGCATCGTGTTGCTTATTGTTGTATTGTGATACTGATCGTTGCTCTTATGGATTTGGATTTTTATTTTTTATTTAGGTTTCTATTACCTTTGCGAGTTCCTTAAAATCAAAATGTCTATGTAGATTTAATTATTTATAAACAAACACCTAAAATGATAAATTTAAATTTATTAAAGTAAACAACAACTTGAAACATAAAGAAACAATAAAAAACAAAAATATCATAATTATAAACAAAAAGAAACACATAGAAACAATAAGCAACAAAAACAAATAATAAAATAATACTACATAATATTTAAATAGTTTAAGTTCTTTAAAAAATATTACATTGTAATATTTGTATTTTTTTATTATTCAACTTTTTAATTTTTTCCCGAGGTCATTATTTTAATTTTTAAGTTTTTTACGCTACATTAATTTTCTGATTTTTAAAAATTTTATATAATCTTTTTAATTTTTCCAAACTAATATAGGATTTAATTTAAGTTTTCGAATGATTCAATATTTTAGATTTATTTGAATTTTTATTTTCTTTGACATGCATTTTTTCCATTTTTTAATTATTTACTTTTTATAAAAGATTCGAATTATTTTTCATATTATTTAATATTTTCAAAATATTTTTATCTTATTTTACGTATTTTTAATAATTTTAAGGTTATCATTTTTTCTAACTATGTTAATGTTTTTTTGTAAAACTTTTGATTTTTTAGATTTTGTAAAATAAATTATACTAGTATTATCTATTTAAAACATACATTAAACAATATTTCTCAAGTTTTTATTATATTTTAAGATTTCTACATGTGTTTTATTTTTCTAACTTTTTTGTAAAATTTAAATTTATTTTCTTTACGTTTAAAAAAAATTGCATCTTTTTAGAAAATTTTATTATTTATTTTAAGCTTATTTTATGTTTTTATCAATCAATTTCAATTTTTTAAATTTAATGATTTCTAAGTATTATGAACTATATGAGTTAATGAATTTTCAAATTTTCAATTTAAAAATAGAAAGTTGAGTGCCTACATGTTCTTTGTACTATTGTACGGACTATTAGTTTGTGAAAAGGTGAACAATGATTCAAACTTTACGTGCATTGCTGCACAAGTGTGGAGAAGAAATTTTAGTTGTTGGGCTTCACACGTGAGAATTGTCTATTTTTGAAAAGAAACTTTGCAATTGCCTAAATTTGAAAGAAACTTTTAAAGATGACAAAAGTGATATTATTTTCATCTTTTAGTCTATTTGTGATAAATTCCCAAAACTATATTGACGAGAAATTATATTCACATTGGCCCTTTTACTAAACACAGCCCACATGTTTTATTATTAACTAAAATTTTTTGAAAAAATGGAAACTAATAATCTAACTTTTTAGCGTTCTTCTAATAATAGTCTCACATTTTCATTATTCAAGAATAATGACGAAGCATAATACGAAGTATAATTGTAATAGCCTTTAACTAGGATAGCTGTAATACGAAGTATAATTGTCGCATAACTCCATCATGGGTAGAGGATGACGAAGCAGCTTTTGTATTGTGGGTTAGGGGTAATTTATATAATGAAAGTATTTTATTTTTTAAAATTTAATTTAGAAGCGGTAAATAGCAATTTGAGGGCTGTGTATAGAATTACCCTTTGAAAAAATGGTGAAATATTCCCTTCTATTATTTGCAATCCATCACTTAAGCTCATGTATTAAAAAAAGTATCATATAAATATATCTACTTTATAAAATAGATCAAATTGACAATTTACTCAATTTCTTATTTGTGATTGTAGGTTTTTAAAATTTTAAAACTCTAGAAAAAATTGTTAAAATTTGAAGAAATATATAAAAAATTGAAAATTTTCTAAATATCAAAAACAATATTTTTTATTTTTTAAAAATATTTGTATATTCTACATCTATTTAAAAGATTTTTAATTTTTAATTTTTTATTTTTTTATTTTCCCTTTATTTTTTTCAGTTTTATGATTTTTTTTATTTTTTACTTTAACGTTTTTAAAATTTTATCTATTTATACATTTATACTATTTTTATATTATTATTAGGTTATTTATTCAAATCTATATGAATTTTTGTAAAATTTGTCAATATTCCTAATTTATTTTTAAAAAATAACCTGCTATAGCATGTAAAAAGGATTGCAAAAAGACAAATTCATATGGAGTATCATTAATCAAACAAATCGTTTGTTACCTGGTTTACAATACAATTAGGAATAACATCAAAATTATTTTCCTGATTTAGTAGGAACACACCTTGTCAAGTTAACCTATGAACAATACGATTCGCAGACCATCTTTAAAAAGAAAGACCGAATGTTCTCTTTGTTTGTAATAGACCTCGAATAAAATAATTTAATATTGCTACCCACCATTCCACCCCTACTTAATTGAATAAAAGCAATTTAAAAATAATTCAACTACCTAAATTACCCTTGTTAAAAAAGAATAATGACTCAAGCAAAGTACTATAACAAGCAATGAAGGATACGAGTCCATTGATCCCCATTGCCACTCACGTGACACGTTTGTCAGCATTCACCACTTCAGTGGAAAGCTTTAAATTGGTTGGCTCAACCCTGCAATTCTTTATTGTCCAACTTTCTTGTATGTTTGTGCCCCTCGCCCACTCCCGAGCCTTGCCAGAGGCTTCCCTTTGGACTCCACCTATGCCTGCTCGTTTTCCACTTTTCTCATTTATTAGGCCATTTGGAGTGATGGAGTATTAGGAGTTCAAAATGTTAAAGGTGGAACTTTTGGACTCCTAATTTCATGTAGTGGTAGACTAAATAGGGTATTAAAAATGGAAGAGGGGATGGAGGGTGTTAGAAATAGAGTCTGGGTTGGTAGGAGTGGAAAAAAGAAAAAGAAAAGAAATAGGGAAGAGAATGGCCAAGAATGCATTCTATGGATGTGAGGATGATGTCATCCCTGCATCATTTTAATCCCAAATTTTTTAACTCTTATAACTTTTTTATTTGTTCTCCAAATTTTTCAAAAGATATATCAAAATTTACGAATTTTTATTATCTTTCATATGACACCAACATGTAATATATAATATTAAAAAAAATCTTATGTTTTAACTATTGGAATTTTCTTGAGCCTGAAAAAACACAAGACACAAATTTTTAATTCATGGAGCCTCTACACATAACTGAATATTGCATAATAAAATTTTACTTTGACTAAATTCATTTTTTGTTAACCGAAAAACGTAAAAAAACATTAATGAAATTGATTTATTTTTACATCGAAATATGTGTTTTTTATTTCATAATTATTTAGGGAAAAAAGTAAATTGAAAATATTACTTATGATGATTTAACTAATGTCTTACTAAATTGATATGTGAAAAAATATGCTGAATGTATTTTATTGACGGTGCTGAGATGCAAGGAATAAGAGTCTAAATACTGTTTTCATATGGACGGAGTCTATTTTTAACTTTTTAGCCTCCTAACCACTACAAATGGTCTTAAGCCACCAACCAGAACTTCTTAAGTCATTGATTCAGAGAGATCCACTTAGTCGGAGTTTTACAGGGTGCGGAGCTGCCGATTCAAAGGGCCAACTGGCCAAGAGAGTTATGCGACGGACAAAGGTTGATTCAGCAAGGTAAAGACTTCAAAATGGGGCGGACTTTAAATAGTACTCCAGACCTACTTCGTATTAAATTCTAATAGGTTAGGATGTTTTCAATTAGATTGATTTCATTTTCAAAACAAATTAGACTGGACTAGATTCAAACAAAACATATCAAATCAGACTTAGATATTAGTAAAATACACGTAAATTAGACGCATATAAAATTGAAATGAAATGAGGTTTTCCGAATGACAACGTATGCTTAAATTGAACATATAGAACTAAAATATAAAAGTTCGAAGCAGGTGATTGTGTGTTTTACATTGTTTTTCATTTTTTATTACGCAAAAAAACATGTTTTCACCAAACACTATGCAAATCATAGTATTCACTCTTATCGGAATGATGAAAAACCAGAGATACTTTAGCGCTTTTCCCTTCGCCGCCCTACCTTAGCCCCCATCCCCAGCACTCTTCCCAACAACTAGCCACCTCTTCAATCCACCTTCCCAACCCAACCCTTCTCCCCAACTGCCGCACCGCCACCCATAACCCTAGCCGCCCACATTTAGCCATGCCGCCGCTCCCCTGGCACATTGCCGTCACCATTGTTGAAAGCATATCTCACAATGTATGTTACCACCACCGTCCACCGCTAAGATGAAACACTAAACAAAAAACTGGCAAGAGTAGTGTCAAAGGGAACGCCGTCACGCGAGAGAGAGCAGCATAACAGTTGTGGGGGGCGATGATGTAGGTGCAATGACGAGAAAGCCAAAGTTGTGCAATGACAAGAAAGCCAAAGTGTCCAATCCCGTAGCCCGCATATTTATTCCTACGGGTCGGGTTTGATCCTGGTCCCGGTCAATTGGGCCGAGTCCCAGGTCAGGCTGACCCGTCCCAGTCCATCCCTAGTCATAGGTACATACATCTATTATTAGCATCACCACGTAACTATGGTTCTATGAAACAATCATGCAATGACTATGATGTTTTTACTTAAAGTGAAATTTGTTGATTTGATCTAATCTATTTATGTCAGATATGGTCTGTTACATCTTGTCTCTTTTTATTTCATAGTTATAGAAGTCTAGTCTATTTTGTTTAAGTCTGGTCTGACTATAGATGTATGATCTGGTTTGTTTAATTAAGTTTGAACTGATCTAGGACTGAAAACAATTCACGTAAAAACATCCTAATTGTTTTGTCATAGAATGTTTTAATTGTAGGAGAATTACAACCATGCATAATTAGTTCTATGTAATAAAGAATCAGAAAACTATATTGCTCGCCAAGAAAGCATAAATAAGCTGTATGTAATCAAAAGCTTGAAAACATTCTTTTTTATCATAGCAAAGCCATGGCAGCATGTTAAACCTAACACTTGAGGGACCAAAATTTTGTTACAAAGAATGTTAGAGGCTATATGGCTACAAGGGTTCACCGTCCATGCCTACAAGGCGTATTCCGAAACTTGGGAGATTCGTGACACTATTCATACAAAGAACACTTCGAAGGCATATAAGTAGAGAAGAAGGAAACGGGCTCTATTCATAGCAAGGCATATAAGTAGAGAAGAAGGAAACGGGCTCTATTCATAGCAAGTCTTCTGTTCCGGTCAACTTAGCGAATTGGGTCTCATCAATGGCTCCTTTTTTTAGCTTCCTCAGTAGGCGGTATTCCCTGGCCATCTCATCATCATCTTCAACCGATTGAGAAGCACGCCTCTTCTTGGCGGTCTGTTTCTTCATATCGGCTTTTAATGAACTTGGGTTTCTTTTTTGTTTCTTCACTTCTTGCTGTTTTGCCTTTTTTGCCTCCAAGTTCTTTTTTCTTTGCTTCTCACGAAATTTGTCTCTATAAAAAATAATTGGAGTACCACACAAAAAAAACACATGAAATGATTTTTACTCGATCATATTCACATTGAGCAATGTAAACCAAAGAGCAACTATCCACCCCAATGATGTGGATAGGAGGGAAATTTTATAACACATGTCACGTGCACACATTTGTGTGTAGGTGTTGTGTATGCATGCATGTATATGTTTGTGTGTGTGAGCACGCGTGTGCATGTATGCATGCATGCACATATATGTGTGTGTGTCACATGGTTCCCCACTTTCTCATCAAGTGTTTGTCCACGCTGTCAAGTGTCCAGCTCAACAAGTCCAGTGAAAATGGAAAAATATGTTACGAAGTATCATACAAGGTTTCATTAAAAAAATCATACAAGGTTTCACTTGAGTAATTGTTCACAGGCAACTAACATTTTGATACCTAAAAAACTGGACTCCTGAGTTGTATGTGATTGAACACATTGAAGTTCAAACTAAAAGTTCATACATGTAAAAGTGCAATCCAGAAACCCTGTTTGTAAGGCTTAAAATGGATTAGGTGGCTGAGAATGCTAAAGTTGTGGCTGGAATATCCTCGATAAGTCTAGTTGAATTAAACAAAATCTGTTTAAAGAAACGGGTACAGGTACCAATTTCATCCAAAAAAGAGGCTATGCACCACTTGTTTTCGTTATTAGTTTCAGCCAACGCACAAAGCACAGCGGAATAAGTTACAAACAAGTTAATCAGTTGGTGTTTGCTGAAAATAAAGCTGATTATCTAGTATCAACAGGCTCTGAAAGTTGAAAAGTGTGGTTGACCAACAGGGTAAAGTTCAGGTGGGAAAGAAAATATTTTTCCCAAGATGCTTAAAAGATAACTTAAAACCATAAATTATATTTGGAAATAAGAAACGATGCTAAAAATCAAACTAATCATATTCACATTTTGAAGTGGAGCTCGAATGGATGAGAATACACAAATAGACGACACCTTACTTGAACTTAATCTCCTCCAGGTTTATATCTTTTACTGGAATAAAACCCTCAGTTGAAAGAGAGTGATGCTTCACCTCAGGTACAGAAGGAAGCTGCAATAAACCATATCCCATCCCAAGCTTTCCAATCTCAAGCTCTTTCCATCTGCAGGTAAAAGCACAATGAGTCAAGACACATTTATGAGTTTTTTTGCAGATAAAAGAACAAACTCACATTACCTGAAGATGTATGAGCAGTGGTGCTCTTTATAAGCACGGATATAAGACACGAATGCCCTGATTCCCTTTTCCATAACATCACGGTCTTTACTTGCTGCTAAACGTATCTGGAATGATGCAATTTTGATAATACGTTCAATAAACATAAAATATCAATACATAATGTTGAAATGTTCACATTCATGACCAGATTTAATACTCCCTCCATCCTAAAAAGAGAGTACTGTCTATTGGTCCCTAATGAGAAAAGTTACAAACTAGTGATATATGATAGAGAAATTCTACATGCCTTCACATTTTTACAATCTCTCCAATGTCACTCGGTTACTGGTCCAAGTCATATCATGATGAGTAATGCTTTCCACGACCAATAATAGATATGTTAGATTGTAAAAAAAGTGAGTGTATCGAGCGTTAGATTTAAGAACAAAGTGAAAGTATCTAGTGCTCATCAATGTGTATTTAAACCAAGAAATATCATGATAGAGAAATGCTTTCCACGACCAATAATAGATATGTTAGATTGTAAAAAAGTGAGTGTATCGAGCGTTAGATTTAACAACAAAGTGAAAGTATCTAGTGCTCAACAAGACTTTTTTGGGACCGAAGGAAATAACTTTTATAGCAAAAGATTTCTATCCAACTATAAGAAATAAATAATATGAAGAACTTGTCAATTGTCATGCTTTACAAAACTAGGAATGCTACAAGACCTTGACTTCAAAACTTTCAAAGAGCTCCTTTCTCCACTTAAATAAATCAAAATAAATGAATCATGTTAGGTAGAAGAAGATTCTTTTCCATTATAAACTTCTAATTTTATTGTTTTGAGATTTTTTAATGAAGGGAATAATCTTGTACTATAGGATTACTGCTCACCTCTGGAAGAATATCAGGAGCCTCATTTGAACATTCTCTTGCTTCGAGTGGAATTCTTCTTATGCGTAAGAATTCAACATATGCTTCCTCCTACAAGAAATGGAAACCACATGCAATAAATTAATGGTAAAGAGGAAATGAAGGTAAATGAGCAAAATATAGAGGCATAAATTACAATTTTTCAAACATGCTCAATGAATATGAGACACCTATGCCCTAATTAATACATGGAACACGTACTTGGTAATATATTTGACTTTTTTCATGACACTTGAAACATGACTAAATACTTCTTAATTTTTTCAAAAGCACAGTGTTGTTTCTTTTAAGGGAAAAGGGGCAAATAAGCCCACGTACTAACCAAAAAAGGTCAAATAAGCCCTTATTTAGGAGGCTCTGCCCGGTCGTCGCCATTTGGGACAGTTCCCGATGGAATTTTTTGATGAACTTTTTTGAGCATCTTATTCATCAAGTCTAGTTTACTCATACCAAATTTTAGCTAATAATTCAATCGGGAAGGCATTCAAATGAATTCTTGAAGATAACTACGCTTTTAAAAGCGTAGTTATCTTCAAGAATTCGTTTGAATGCCTTCCCGATTGAAGTTTTATCTGAAATTTGGTATGAGTAAACTAGACTTGATGAATAAGATGTTCAAAAAATGTCATCAAAAAATTCCACTGGGAAACGCCCTAAATGGCGACGGCCGGACAGAGCCTCTTAAATTAAGGGCTTATTTGACCTTTTTTGGTTAGTTCGTGGGCTTATTTGCCCCTTTTCTCTTCTTTTAATGAAATGGAAAAGGTTTTACTAAACTGGAAATCATTAATTTTTAGATTTAAAGGGTAAAACACTTTTTAACAAAAGGACACTGAAATGATGTTTTTTAAAAGTTAAATACCCAAAAGTGTTTTTATAAGCCATCCCAAATGGGAACTTAGTTGGATTCACAGTGTGAAAGGAAAACTTGTACTCCGTATTTCCCTAGGACTGATTGTACGCAATTATGCAAAAGCAGCAATATATACCTTTGGTGAAAGAAATACGATGCCATGCCCTTGCCTCCCAAGCCTAGCTGTTCTGCCTACTCTGTGAACAAACACATTCGGATCCTGAGGTGGATCATACTGCATATGGAAAATAAAAAGTTGTAGTTTCACCTGGATGGGGGGTCACATATATTTATCTGCATGTGGGTGTTAAAATAGAAAAAAGCATGCCAACATGTATGTGCACTTGTTATTCAATTGTATTTGTTCTCATTGAAGATCATGGTGTCTTTTGGTTGGTCAATATTGCAGCACAACAAAAAGTCAAATAGTATTAGAAAGCAATTTTGAAAGTGATAAAGATAGTAATTGGACTGTTCTAGGGATGTTACAATAAAACTAGGAGTGCAGGAAACATGGAAATGATCTGGAGAGTTAACAGGCACTAATGGGCATAAACAATGTTTGCAACTTTGCACGTGCAAATATAAGATTTAAGACTTTCCTACATTAGTTATTTATCATTCATAGAGATAATTTTACCACGACATCAAACACTACTATAGATTAAGAAACTTCAATGGTGATAAGGTCGAAGTTTCTATCTAGTATTATATGCATAGTAACCCTTTACACAGAAGAAATGAACAATGATACTTGCCTGTATTATACAATCAACACCTGGAATGTCGAGTCCACGTGCCGCGACATCAGTGCATAAGAGAATGCCACTGGAAAGAGATGTAAATGATGATAATGCTTTCTCCCTAGCAGTCTACAATAATAATAAATAATAAATAATAAATAATAACAGTAACTTTATAGTACAAAAATGAAAAGAAAAAAAAAACATTTTCTACGTTGTATTGTTTGAATTAGCTGAATTTCATGTCTCTCTTAGAAGAAGTATAGAAGTACCTGCTTCATCTTTCCATGAAGGGGTATTAAAGATAGCTTTTTCAGACAAGAAATAAGAGGAAGAACAACTCCCCAGTAATCAACACATGCACAAGTCATAAAATAGCTGCAGGATTAATGAGATTGATTGTTATAATGTGAACGTAAATATGCAGCCAAAAATAAACAATGTGAAGGGAAAATGTGTACATTATAATTTTTTTAGATTTGTTGTTAATTAGGAAATCGACAAGTTGTGATGATTTCTTGTCTGCTTCACATTCAAGATACTGCAAAATTAAACAGACATCAGACAATCGTGTCAATGAATAAGTGTTAAAATATTATACTCTGTCCTAAATAGTTTATCATTGTAGCCTTGAAATTTTGTACCAAAATGAATGCTGCTTTAAGAATTCCATATGTATATCATATTTTCTTCGACAGTTGCCCAAATATAATCTTTTGAAATTAAGTATTAGTAAATTCGAGAAGATAATTGGAACCACAAACATTTATTAAATTAATTCTTGAGATGAAAAACATTTTAGATAAGGGTATATAAGTCTTTTTATATGATCCTTAATTTGTGTGGTCTAAATAGAGGAATAGTTTGGGGCAAAATGGGACTTTTTAGTACAAAATAAAGCATACATAGTCAATATACCTCTATCTGAAGGCCAGCGGGAGTTTTTGAAGAAGCAAATTGGCCAGATGATGTAGAACCATTTAGTAATTTTGCCTCTGCCCTAACTTCAACCCGTACTGGGTTCCTTAATCCTGCCTTTGAAAGCTCTTCAACTGCCTCAGTTTGAGTGGCAGAAAACAGGCCTGTCCGGCGTAGTTTTGGCAAACGAGATATAATGGAGTTTAACTGCCTCTGGAATCCCATATCTAGCAGCCTATCAGCTTCATCTAAAATTAAAATCTGGACGAAGAACAAATTTCCAGTTAACAAGATCTGATAGACTTTGTTTGATTAAGGAGATATAGGAGAAAAATATATAGAGGGGGGGTAATAGGGGACAAAGTGAATTTTTATAATTGTTCGATGAGAAGAGAAAATAGGGCATTAATGAAAAAAGTTGGGCACTTCCATTTTAATTTTCCTCCCTCATGGAGAGAATGCATTCATTTTAAATCTATCCATTACTCCTTCATTTCTCTTCTGACAAACAACACACAAAATTTACCCTATTTCTCTAATTTACTTCTCATCTATTTTTTTTACTACACCAAAGGCTTAAAGGGAGCATGTCATCCATAAAACCCCAGTCTTCTCTGCCACCAAGTATAGTGAGTAATATGGTGGAATGTAGGAGCGTGCGCAGTTTCAACTTTATACATCACGGGTGAACATGAATGAAAATTTTAGATTTCACCCATTAAGAATGTTGATTATGTAAATAATGAAGTACTAAAAGTTTTAGCATCCTTGAGAATTTTAAGTCCAACTGACTAAGACAACGTATTCAATACACGGTTTTATGAAGTAACCAAAAAATGTGGGAATGACAGCATACACTAGCTGAAAAGGGACTAATGGAGACAAGATATACCATCGATTTCCAACTCTTTTTGTCCTTTTCTGAAGCAATGAATTAAAGCTTATCTCATCCATACAGAAAATAAGAGACAGAAGTAGACTAGCAAGTTATTTCAATGATCTCCCAACGCATCTTATTTTGTTGAGTACTAAATACTACCAACTCCGTCCCGGCTTAAACTTCTCATTGTAAAATGGCATGGTTATTTAGACAATAATTAAATATGGTTATTCGAGAAGTAATTTTTTATGTGCATATAATATAATGAGGTCATTGATGAAAACTGTGATGTTATACGTGTATTATTTTTTATATTTGATGATTAAGTTGTCATTTAAGGGTGCTAATTATTTCCTAAAATAGAAATGTCCACCTTTAGCTGGGACCAAGGTAGTCACATTTGAAAGGCACACTTGAAGCGCTAGGGGCCTTCCAGTGCCTGAGGCGCAAGGCACAAATAAAGCGCTCGCCTGACTCAGGTGAAGCACATTACTTAGAGATAAAATCGCATATACTAATCTATAATTACCAAATATGATGTATGTAACATCATATTAAACCAAATGCATAAAAATGTCAGGATTCACCAAAATAAAGTGATGATTCACAAAAATAAAACACCAAATTCAGAATTCATGGCTTTAATACTAAAACTAAAAAGAAAAGACAATCAAATCGGAACCTATTTCCCCTTGTTAAACTTGTAAACGATTATTCGTCATCAAAAGAGGAGTCAGTTTCTTTCTCCATTATCTGATTTATATTCCCCAACATCCTCTTCAATTTATCCTTCAGTTTCCTCATCCACAAACCTACGAGTGTTACTTGAACTCGGATTTTTGGACGACGTAGTATTATTACTTTATTATATACATAGCAATATACTAGTGCTGTGAGTAATACAGAGTAATACAGAATATTATGACTTTATTATATACTTAGCAGTATACTAGTGCTGTGAGTAATATAGAGTAAAACAGAGTATTATTGCTTTATTATATACATAGCAATATACTAGTGTTGTGAGTAATATAGAGTAATGCAGAGTATAATTACTTTATTATGAGTAATATAGAGTATTACTCCGTATATACATAGTAATATACTAGTACTCTATTATATACTCCGGGTACATAGCAATATACTATATGAGTATTTGGATGAAGAGGACTGCATGAAAAAGAACACATATTTTGTTTAGTGCTGGGAAGGAAAACTGAGTTTGCTTGAGATGAAGAAAACTGAAACTGGCCAGTGTAGAGCAGCTTGAGTGAAAAGAGTGAATAGACTGAAGAGCAATGATGGCTAGCGATGATAGCTTAGTGTTTTACACAAGGTTTTACATTTTTACGTAATTCACTTAAGGTTTTACCCTATTACTTACATGGGCTGAGTGTTATTGAAGATATGGGCTAATTATTTTTGAAAGTTTTAAACCAAAAAAGGCTTGTCAACCTTTTCCGGATTAGGCGACCCAGGTGTGCGCCTCCCTGCGCTTCACGCGCTAATGCTGCGCCTGAACCAAGTGTGTGCGCCTCCCCTTCTCCCAAGCGCTGGAGGCCCTGCTCGCTGTGCCTGGTGTGCGTGCTTAAGCGCTGGGTGAGCGCTATTGACTACCTTGGCCGGGACATCCATAAGAGGCAAGTGATAAGCTAAAATTGGGACAGAGGGAGTACTACATACAAGGTCTAAGAGTCATATAGCTAAACTATGGTGAATATATGCGCATATCGTAATGGTCCGTTGGAAATCTATATAATGACCTCTGAAAGTCATTACCAAATTTTCTTACGTTAGGTTTGCTTACAAAATCATAGTCAAAAGAAAATAAGTGGCTGTTCAATGGAAAAGTAGCTCACATTTTTCTGAATAGTGAAAACAGCTTCCCAGAAAATAACCCGGAATTCGTTCTCCGAAGTATCACCCCATATCTTCCATATCCTCTCATTTTTGACCCATCCTGATAGATATAGTCATAATTCCTTAACCAGCATCAACTCTCTAGGGAAACAAATGCATTTGGCAGCCATTCTTTTTTCCCTGACAGATCATACCTTCACTCTTTTCATTTTTTGAAAATTTCAAAATTAGGGCCTTTTCTCAAGTGATTTTTCTACAAAATTTAAACCTTGGCAGTCTCGAGTCTCAGGTATATACAGGCGTATAAAAAGAAATTAGGCGACAAAATCTTTTAAAATTTTATGAAACTAGTTCTGCTTTATTTTTTCTGTTTCGAATGTTCAATGCTTGGATATTTATTAGCCTGTACTTCTTCACTCAACAATTTAGATCTGTAACAGATAACAGATTATTCCATTGTGCTAACAGTGAACCAAAAAACGCTTTTTAATGCCTTAGTTTTATCTGCTTGCCTAGGAAACCTTAAATTTACACAAGCCAAAACTTGGAAGAGGACCTTTATATAGAGCATACCTCAAAATTACGAAAGTCTAACATGTCCATGCGTTCCATTATGTCATAAAGTCTGCCAGGTGTCCCAATCAACAAATTTGCCCCTTCTTCTTCAATTTTCTTCATATCCAGTTTAACTTCCCCTCCCCCAAGAAGAAGCACTGGCTTAATGTTATGCAGCGTTGAAATGAAAGGTTGAGCAACATGAAATATCTGTGATGACAACTCCCTAGTTGGTGATATAATAATGCCCATTACCTACAAGAAATAGTAAGAGACTGATGAATACTTAGCAGTAAGCATATACTGACATTTTATACAATTTCCATAATTCTTCAAGATGATTTGGTCTTCGCCCTATCTAAAACTAACATCCATTTGCAGTTTTTATCAGGAAAAAAACGGTAAAATATTTAGCAGCTAGGATTTATAGAGAGTGATGGGACTTATAAGTTCGAAAGAATTTAAAGTTATCAGAAGTTTTATGAAATAAAAACAAAATTTTGATCATTTTGTAGTCAAACTTCGCTTTGTATTCAAAAATTACACGAGTACGTAATCAGTAACTACCCAAGTAACTCAAAATCAATTGAAAGTAGATACTGAACCTGGTGAGATTTAGGAGGAGATGATCGACGTAGGATCTCAACCAAAGGGACGACAAAGGCAAGGGTTTTCCCAGAGCCGGTGGCGGCATCGACGGCGACATCCTTGTGGCTGCACAGCAAAGGTATGGTTGCCGCTTGAACCGGCGTGCAGTAATCGAAGCTTCCATTAGTCAAAGCTTCGAGAACTGACTCAGAGAGCGCCGGCTCGAGTTCGGAGAATCGAGTAGACGTTAAGGCTTTGTTCGTCGGCTCCATACTCGTGCGGTCGCGCGCCTTATGGTTAAGGAAGATGAGTTTTAGTTAGGGCTCATTTTGATGACAATATTTTTTTTTTTGTAATTTGAGTTTGTATCTCATTTTATTGTGCAAATTGGACTTTACATCTCGTTTTTAAAAATATTTGTTTTTGCACCCCAACCTTTTATGAAAAGACAAAAATGTCCTTAACCAAGAATTTGTTGAAGACCAACAAAATTGCTAATGGGGGTATTTTTGTCTTTTCATATGGAGTTGAGGTGCAAAAACAAAGTTTTTTAAAAACGGGGTGCAAAGTCCAATTTTCACAATAAAATGGGGTGCAAACTCAAATTACCCCTATTTTTATTCAATATTTGTTTAATTTTATTATATTTATGATATTCAATTTTGACATTTTTTATTTAGGATTCATGAATCTCAGTTTAACTTCTCACTTATATTTTAATATATAAATAATTATAACACTATTAAATGTCAGATCAATCAGCAAATATTAGAGTTATCATCAATGGTTACACTATGTTATGTGCACATCAAGACTATTTTTCTAGATATACCAAATTACTTCTAATTATTGTCTAAAGAGTTTTGTCATTTTTAATGAGAAACTTACATTGAGAAAGATGTAGTAGAAATTAATACACTAAGATATAATACTCCTTTCATATTTTCCTTTTTTGCTAAAATAGGTATTGACACATTTTTTAACAGTGAAATAATATGAGTAATGAATAGTGTAGAAAAAGTAGGAAAGATGGTGGAAAAGTATGAAAGAGAAGATATTAAATAGAAAAAATAAGAGTGGTTGAGTATTTTTAAAAGAAAAACTTCCTAAGAAGGGAAAGATTAGCAAATTTTTTAATACATCCAAAAAAGAAAAGTATACCAAACAAAAAAATATGGAGTAACATATTCATGATTAAAACAAAATACTATATTTGATGAAAATGTAGTATTATAGTAATAACTTTAGGATAACTAGTCAATAGATTTGTGCATTGCACGAATAGTGTGTGATTTTAATTTATCTTTTAACACATGATATAGTTAAGTTTAGAGTAGTTTTAAACTTTTAATGTCAAGCTCAAGGTTGTTAAAATCGTATTTTTGAATCGAATCGGTAGATGTTTTTGAAAATCGAATCGTAAAATCGAATCGCAAATCGTAAGATTTTATCAAACATATTTTAATAATTATAAAATAAATAAATATTAAAATTAAGTTGCAAGTTAATGGTATTATGTCATTTTATTACATACCACTATACCTACAAGGTCAAAAACAAGATTTATAAACTATTTTTATATTGTAAATAAAGTGAATAATAACATTAAACATATGTAAAACATAAAAATAATTAAATAACACAAGAATCCATTACTTTTTTAAATATACTATTGATGTTATTATTATTGAAATTTTGTATCAATTTGTAGTAGTTAATTTCAATAAATTTGAAGCATTTTCACTAAAAAAAACTTATTCCGATTTTGCTACGATTTTGATACGATTTTATACGATTCTACACGATTTTTGTACGGTTTTGTTACGATTTTGTACGATTTTATGATTTTACGATTTTACCTGCGATTTGAATCGATTTATTGTTGTAGAATCGTAAAATCATACGATTTTACGATTTAAATCTAGATTTTAACAACCTTGGTCAAGCCGGTCTGGCGGAACCGCCGCCCGGACGAGCCCGTTTGGGGTCCTTCCCAGTGTAGTTTACCCATACCATTTTTTGAGCATGTTCTTCATCAAGTACGTACAGTTTACTCATACTAAATTTCAACTAAAAATTTGATTGGGAAGACAGTCAAATGATTTTCTGGAAAAAATTGCGCTGTTTATATATATTAACTGCGCAGTTTTCTTGAATAATTGAAAATGTTGGCATTTTCAAATAGTAACATGCCATTTTTTTGGCATTTTTACACCGGTCGGAGATGGTGGCGTAGGGAGGCAGTGTAGGCGGTGGGAAAGCCATCCATATTTTTTTATTTTTTTTATGGAGTTTTACGGTTTTTATTAATTTAAAAAAAATATTTTATAAATATTTAATTAATTTTTTTTTATTTTTCTCCCATTTTTAAATTTGTTTCGAATTTATTATGAATTAAACATTTAATTATGACTTTTGACTATATTTTACTCATGTTTAAAGGAGGGTAAGAATGAAATGAAAAAATATGTATGATTCCAATAGGAATAATATGGTCCTGTTTTGGAATAAAAACGCACAAGTCCTATTTTGAGTTTTTGCCATAATTTTAGTCTTATTTATAGTAATTTCTGATGACAATAATATAAAGACATGTCAAGTATCTCTAATCTCTAAAATCTTATAAATGCCAATCAGGGCTAGGGCATTTAAGGGAGGAAAAAAATGTTGGTGGTATCCTCTAGCTTAATTGAAATGTACAATATGCTTTACCATAGGTACTCTATCAAAAGGCCTTTAACTTGCCGTTTTATTTCCGTCGGTCATTGCTCCTATCTGTTCATCCGATCCGTCTCTTCTCTGAGCGCTCCAAGCCTTTGAAGTTTGAACCCGTTTCCTACTCGCTGCCTACTCCCATCTGTTCATCCAATCCGATATGTTTTCTTTCCACCCCCCCGCCTACTCACTGAGTCGTTGGTCTTCTGATTTCTTTCAGTTTTAGTTTTGTTATATTTTATTTAGTTCAGCATTATGCCTCTATTTCTTGAAATTTTGGGGGTTTCTATTGTGAATTCAGATAAATTGCTCCCTAGATTTTTGGAATTCACATGCTGTGAATTTTCATGTTATTGTGAATCCTGAATTCAGCTTTAGTTTGAGGAATTGTGATATGCGATTTAATGTGGATACTGTGATTTCTTTGCATTCAGCTTTAGCTCTTTAGTTTGTTACTATTCAAGTTGTTGTTGTGAATTATGAATTCTGGAATATCCCTAGATTGTTGATGTGGATTAGACGAGTAAAACCTAGAATCTGATTAAGTATGCTCGTATGGATATGGTATGGTTTAGACCTTTTGAACTTCAGTGATTGGGGCTTGACTTAGATCTGAATCAATTTAAATGCATGACCTAGGAAAAAACTGTTGTGAACTTAATGATAAAAGAAAATCCACGTCTTTTATGTTGTACACATTGGTTCTGCCAAAAAAAAACAGCAACCTTGGTTTGTGTCTATCATTTTTTGTTTCTATTGTCATTATTATATTATCCTTTCTCAGATGATGGACCTGCAATACTTTTTTTGTTTAATACCAAGAAGCCTCTCTTTTTGCTCAACAATTTTAGTAGGATGTTCTTCAGTTCTTGGTAGATATTGCTTTATTCATTTTTAGCAGTTCTAGGAGAGACCCTTCTTTGGATCTTTTGAAAAGAAGAAAAGACGATACTTTAATTGATGGGGGATTTTATGAAGTAACCGTTATGCCATTTCTCTTTTCACAATACAGAAAGCCTTGATATTTTCCTTGGAAATTTCCCTCAATTAGTCGAAGGAATACTGACCTAAGTGAACCTTGTCTTTTCCTTTCTTTTGTCATCATTTTTTCATGAAGCTCAAGTTGTTCAAGCATCTCTATTTGGTCAATATTCAACTACAATGACCTTGTAACACTGCTCTATGTCAGGCACACAAAAGAAAATCGGGACCATCTTTTAAAAATATAAAAGAGCGTAAAGGCCTGAACCATAAAAGTACTATATTAGATTGTGAACCTTCTGAGCCAATTTCTCTGCATGCATTGAGAAGTTTTTCTCTGCCAAACCACAGTGAGGTCGATCTCCCTAAGCCAGAGTCATATATTAGATTGTGCCCTATAGAGATTGCCATAATCAGTAATGATTGATCCTGCTTTTCTTCAATATTTTGAGAAATAGTCTTATCTTAAACATATACGGAGTATTTGGTTTAAGTTCTTGTATTGATTTCAGGTTCTATAATACATCTTGAAAAATGACAACTTAATTATTTGGTTTTTGAAACATATATTTTCAGTGAGCCAGATTAACACATAACTAAATGATTTTTAATGTGTTCTTTGTTAAGCGTGTGCATCGACTCTAGACCGGATTGAGCTGGACTAGACTAAAGACTGAAAGCTAAAAGAAGTTGGACCTAAGGCTGGACGGATACATAAGAGATTAATAGGTTTGTGTTATGTCACTATATGCTAAGTTTTGATTGATGTGTTTATGGGCATCGTTTACTTTAATGAGATATAAGTTTGTAATGGAGATTAAATTAATAAATCTTGTTTTGGTAGTCGGGTACAAACCTGGTGTATAGTGTATTTCTTATCAACTAGGCTTTTGTGGTACAGGTGATGAGGCAGTAAAGTTTTACCATTATTAGACTAAACCTATCTAAGTGATACATGAGTTTGGCGGTAACAATGAATTGTTCTATTTAAATGAACTCATTAGGCTGCACTGTTAATTAAGCATGTACATATAAGATATAAAATCGCTCTGAACTCGACTTATGTGTATCATATTTACAATGTCATTTAACATTAGTTTTTTAGCAATAGTCTTTAGCTATAAGTGAATATTTACAAAGGTGATAAACACACCCTGTTATTGCTCAAATTCAAATTATAACTACGTATTATATTTCTTAAAAGTACTTGATTGCTATATTTTCTTGTAATGCAATAAAGTGCTAAAACTATGAGAGATTACGTTCTGTTTTACAAATAAGGCCATGCAGGTCTATGATGGCCTAATTTTTAACCATTAAAATTAAAAAGAGCCTAAACCCTTATCTCTGAGTCCATATCGAATAACCAACTTATTCCATATTAAGATAACTTACAACCCATATAGTTAATTATACTATACTGTTAGCGCCCTCACCCAATATGTCCTTAAAGTGTGTGTGTGTTTTGGATCAAATAAAAACCATCCTTAACGTGAAAATTAAAAAGCGTTCACTTTTTCTCCAATGTGATGTACTTTAAGGGTGGTGTGTTGCACTTTTATAACTTTGTTCGAGCCATGCAAAATAAAAA